ATTTTTTTGTTAAAACAAATAAAATCTAGTTCTAGATGTGATTCTCATTTAAAATAAGTCACAAGGTCCCCATATACCTTGCTAATTCAACAAAGTACTTTTAGTTACAATTATTTGTATCTCTGTTGCCCAATTTAAATGACACACAGCAGGATGAGTATGTGCATTATCAGTCAGTGACAAAATGGTGACAAAAGGGTCCTGCAGACTTGCCAAAGTAGCCCATCCTGTTATAACTTTTCTTCTTGACGTAAGATTTTCTACAGGCTGAGGTTTATATTGTTGATCTCACCATTACTGATTTATTTCATTAGGGTAGTTCACATCCTGCCTTTGCACCATAGAAAACAGCATCTGAAATACCGTGTTTTTCGCACCATAACCAAAGTAGCCCATCCTGTTATAACTTTTCTTCTTGACGTATGATTTTCTACAGGCTGAGGTGTATATTGTTGATCTCACCATTACTGATTTATTTCATCAGGGTAGTTCACATCCTGCCTTTGCACCACAGAAAACAGCATCTGAAATACTGGTAGCTAATGATATTTTTAAAAATGCAACAGAAAAGTCATCAACAATTAAAAACTATACAAATCTGGAAGAAAGAAATTGAGTCATCTTAATATTTAAAGGCTATCAAAAAGCTAATCTGAATAGAATGTTCTTTAAAAAGAGAAGCTAAAGAGAAAAGAAGCTAAATAAGCTTTTAATAAGATACAAATCTATGGCCACTGATATGACTGTATCAGGGCACTCTGACCATCCATCCAATTATATCCAAATGCAAAGAGTTTCTCAGTCAGATCATTTTGAAGGGGCTAGGGGCTAGCCCGGACTCAATACATATGGCACCCAACGTGGGGCTGTGAAAGGCTTGCCCTTTCTCAGGATCCTAGAGTTACCTCCAAATGTATTTAACCCTGACTGTTTCAGGCATCCTTTCCGACTGGCTCCAGGAAGAAACTGGGGAGTCGCTCTAGTGACCCTCAGTACGCACCAACCTCTTTTTGTCTTTCCGACTGGCTCCAGGGAGAAACTGGGGACTCGCTCTAGTGACCCTCAGTATGCATCGACTTCTTTTTGTCGGGAGGACGACCTGAACTAGCCTCCAGCAGACCCCCGAGGAGCCACGAATGAACGGCCAAGAGAGACTTCAGTGTGAGGGATCCTGTGTGACGATGGCACCCAAATTGGGGGAAATGAATGGGTCAGTATAGGCAAGCGCTTGCAAGTGTAGGAATTGGTAAATTCCCCGGAATCTGAAAGACAGGAGTGAGGGTGAGGTCTGACAGGAGGGTGAGCTAGCTTGGCCTGGTGATCCCGTACGTGTGAAAGTGAATGAGAGAGTGAAGGTGTGTGAATGAGGATTAGGGGGGGGTGCAACCCTGATGAGAGGGTCCAAAAACTCAGTGCAGCTGAAGAGAGAGGATGAGTTTGAGAGTGAGGTCTGGGGCGGCGAACCCAGCGGGAGGACTCACCAAGTGGGGTCCGTGCGAGTGAGGTGGGGGATCCTGAGCCAGAAGACTAGCGGGGAGGGCAAGACCACCTTTGACGTGCAATTGTTCCCAGAGTCACAGGCCACGCCAGGAAACCTGCTGAAGGCCAGGCCCGTTTTTATTTTAAAGGTTAGTGTTTTTTTTATTGCACCCTAGATAATTTTGCGAATTTAGTTGATCCTCTGGATAGATGTAAGAAGTGCAAACTAGTAAAACTCTGCAGAGACACATGGCTGAGTTACCATCTAGGGCAAGTCCTCCTCAGATGGCCAAGAGAAGGCACGATTGGCATTACCTTTAACCTATTGAAATCTACAGTATTTGACCCTAAATTGGAAAGATGAGGAAATTCCATACCTCTCTCTTTTTTTTAAACTTAGCTCAGAGACAGGCATGTGCCAAAATGGGGCAGGTGTGTGTGTGTTTTGAGCCTCTGTATGTTCCCAGTTCACGACAGTCCTGCACAGCTATTGGTCAGCATGTGGCCCCCATTTATCCAAACCTCCCCTCCTGCAGACCCCATCCCATCCTCATTAAGGGAACTGGCTCTCCCCTCCTCCCCCATCTCCCAAAGGCTCTCCCCTCCTCCCCACAACCTCTCATGCCTCTTTCTGGAGAGTCTTGCCTCCCCTCTGGAAATGATTTTCTGCACTGCACTCCAGGAATTCTTGATGGAGCTATCTATGGGGGGGGGGGCACAGAAAATTCTTAGTGGACATGGGAGCTATTTTCAGTGTGGTTAAAAATTCTACTGGTCTGTTCCTTGTCCACTCTCTTTCAACCCCAAATTGAAGGTGTGGGAGGTGCAGTCACCCATGCGTCCTGTTCCTAGCAAGTCTCAGATCCAGCACTCTTTCCTCATTCTTCCCTGCTTTCTCTAAACCTCTTCTCTAAACCTCTTCTCATGTGATTCTCATTTAAAATAAGTCAGGCCACGATCCCCTGTACTCTAGAGGGGATCTATGTCACCTTCCCTTTATCTTTTCACATCTTGGTTTGCATCCTTCTTAACTTCTTACGTTTCAGGTGCCTTGCCCCCACGCAGTGATCTGCCACTGAAGATACATCCCGAGGACCAGACCCTGGTGCGAGACATCCACCCCTCCTGCCAGGAGCCCAAGCATATCCACTGAAGCAAGTTCCTCCCCACAAAGATAGCGATCCTGGGTCCACATGTCCCATCTGAGAACAGCTCAACCTCGCAGAGAGAAGTGGGCTTGCAAGAAACTAGAAACACCCAGGGTCAAGATCCAGCAAAAAGGGGACTGGTGAGCATCAAATCCACAGTGATGGCTGAGCCTACACCCGAAGCGCAGCTTTCTGGCCTGGGTAACAAGGCTTTTACATCCGTTTTTGGGACTTAAACGTAAAGGTCACCCAAGGACACCCCCAAGCAACAGCGGCTCTCTCTATGGGGTTTTTCTCTTTCCCTTTCACCAGCGAGGGCACTTGCTCTTGTTTCATTTATGCAACTGTCTTTATTGAGAATTGTCCATCTGAATCTGAATGGTACATTTGTCACTGCCAGATGGGGGAGAAACACTTTTCATTTCTTCAGTCCAGAGGTTGGGAATTTGATTCCCCGCTGTGCTTCTTTGACAGGGGCTGCGCCCATTTTAGGTTGCATCAGGGGTCCAAAAAATGTATTCCTTTACAGGACAGTCTTTGTATGAATGGGTCACAAGTTGGCTTCCATATTTTGATTGCAGCTGCTTAACAATACAAGCTTTAAATCCACAGTTCTATTAATGTGTACCACAATTTGAAATTAGCTTTAATACCGCATTTTAAAAAATGACAAAAAATTACAGCTGTATTTTATAGTTGCAGGAGGGCTGCGGGTGTGTGTGTGTAAAGACACCTGATAACAAAAGCAGTAGCGATTCAACTTTCTAAGAGCTAGATTAGGATGCATTTCCATTAAAAGTGATTTATCCCCTTATTTGCAGGGGATCCTATTTTGCTTTTAAACGTTAAGGGAATATAATCCACTCTTTGGTATCCGGGTCGACCTCTCTCTTTCGCTGCAGATCTGCCAGTTTACTGCGCGAATTGAAAGGTGTCTCCACTTGAGGGAAGCTCTTGACGCCTTAAGACTGACGTTAAAGGCCTCAAGAGTTTTCCTCACAAACACTTCAGTCTCGGGGGCTTATTTTTTAAAACGACAACTCCTATCAAGTCTATTTCTAACGTTAAAGGCCTCAAGAGTTTTCCTCACAGACACTTCAGTCTCGGGTGGGCAAAACCATTCGGAGGCTTATTTTTTTAAAAGCACAACTCCTATCGAGTCTATTTCTGTGTCCAACCACTGTACAGTATTTCTTAATGAGGCTTTCTTAAAAAAAGAAGAACGTACGATGCTAATTAGGGCCCACTTCCATGAAGTAACCCAGCTCCCCAAGCCCAACAGCGTCCCCCCGCCCACCATTTAGCTAATTAGGGCCCACTTCCATGAAGTAACCCATGCCCAAGAGCGTCCCCAACCCCCGCCCACCATTTATGTATTTTCTGCGGCTCCGTCTCCTTAAATACCTTTCCCCTTAAAGCCCCGCCCCCTCGTGTTTTTGTTGTCGTCGTCGTCGTCTTCTCCTTCGCCCCCTCGTGTTTTTGTTGTCGTCGTCGTCTTCTCGTCCGCTAGGCCCCGCCCCGTCTGGGGCAAAGGGCGAGAGAGGCGCGCGGGGAGATGAGGACGAGGCCGTGAGCTTTCGCTTCCGGGTCGGGTCGGGAGGGGAGCGCTGTCGCTCGGGTTTTGCTTCCGGCGCCGTCCCGAGTCGGGGCGGGCGGGGGGCCGGCAGAGCCCGCTCCTGTGCCAGCGCCTAC